ACCTTGTTCTAGATAAAGCTACCACAAGGAGAGCATTGGGTTGTCCGAACAAAATATATATTGAATGAATTTGTAAGACGTGATGCACAACTCATTTCTTTTTTCTGTTTAAGTTAGTGGTGTAATATTAAAGTTTGAAAAATTAATGTGAATTTTATCGCAAATTTATGATTTGAAATAAGCCCCCCCCCCCCCCCCCCCACCCCTTCATTTTCCAGGCCTGAAATTAAAAATTAAATAAGCCACCATGGAGCTTTTACGGTATTTAAAAATTACCCCCCCCCCCCCCCCCCTCCCCCGTTCAATTACATTTGGAAAAATATGGTATGATCAGAGGTTTCTTGGTTTCCTGTAAGTTCCAATATTTTCTTTTTATTACAAGTCACAGTCTTTTTATTTTGTTGAAATGTAGACTCCCTAATCCGGCAAAATTGGCCCAGTTAGACAACAGTGATCCCTCTACAATAAGTCATTTGGAAATTTGATGTACAAGAGGCACTCTTTAAATGTTGTTTCTGAAGAGTTTGTTCTCGATAGTCTCATGACTTCTCCTTTAATAAAACCTCTTCTTATGCTTGGTGGTTGGCACAAGGTAAATTCATGCATACTGAAAGGTTTCAGTCGAGTCGGTCTATAGTGATTCACAGATTGCTGTTGTCTTGGATGGATCTACCGTAAATCCTCGAATAAGCACCTCCCCTTGAATAAGCGCCCCTATAGAATCATAATATAAACCCACCCCTCTCCTTAAATGCAGTCAAAACGAATGTATGAAGTAAGAGAAGGCAGAATTACTACTAACAGATTTCTTATCAAAAATAAAATTTTATAAAAATACAACTTGTTCAATTATGGAATAACCTGAAATTTGAAATAAGTGCCCCAGGCGCTTATTCAAGGATTTACAGTATCCCCTTTGAATATCTCTGTGTCCAGGAAAAGTATTTCTTTCTCTGAAATTTTGGCTGTGAAATTGTGCAGCAACTTAGACTAAAAACAAGAATTTTCAAAAAAAATATATAACTGGGCAATTTAAATATCGGCTTTCTTGCTTAAAATCCTGCTTGAAAACCTGCTTGAAATCCTGTTTGAAATCTATTAGAGAAATAGTCATGCCAGTCACGCTAAAGTCTGATGTTGGCATGATTCGGCAACGACCGGAAACTGGCGATTTCCCACTGTGATCCAATAACGCGCAAAGGTCGAACTGTTTCTGTTCTTCTCATGGATATTTATATCGACAAGCCAAATAAACCTCTGTTTAAAGTGTACATCCAGCAAGAATACTTCAGAGATGTAAACTCACATACACGTCTTTGAAATGGAAACTCTACTTCCTTGGTTAGGGCTCTTACCTTTGGAAATGTTACAAATACATACGTTTTTTAAAGTATTTCTTGTCTGGTTGATCAGGGTTGATTGTAGCATATATTGTCAACTTTATCTATTTATGGTTTAATTTAAACACATCATTCAAATTTAACCCCCCTGGTTTCTTCAAGTAGATTAAAAATTATACCTCCCAAACACGTGCAAATTCCAGATCCCCCGGCCCTCCTCTAAAACCGCCGCATCCCCCCGACCCTCACCCTCTGGGACATAATGACGGTCAGTCACTAAATATAACACTTTTAAAAGCACATTCATCACTTTTGAAGGGTGAGGCCTGCCTGCTGTCTTTTGGCCGATTCCAAACATCAGACAGAAATCTTCAGAACATCTTCGTAAGACTTTGGAAATATTTCTACTTCTATGAGAGCCGGGGAGGGGAGGGTACTCCCAAAAGAATTGGGTGGGTGTGTGCCGCTGGGTTATAAAAACCCTTACCCTTTACTACCAGACCACAAAAATGCTAATTTTGCGACCCTGTTCCACACTAAATGTTAAAAAAAGATACCCTGTTCCAGATGATTTTTAACAATTTTTTCTAACCCAAAAGGCTAAACTACAATCGTGGTCAAAACTAGTTGAGACAAATGAATATCACACACTTTTCACAAGTCACTTAACCAATGAGCGGGTAGAAATATTTTTATCCCCCTCTCCCCTGCTCAATGTTGTTTCATGGGGCTGCCAATTCATCCTGCTTCGATTTAACATCGTTTTCACAACGCGACAACATTGAAATGGGGGACGGGGGTAGAACAAATAGGCTGTAGTACTCAAATTGTTTGTCTCAACAGTTTTGACCACGATTGTAGTAAGCAGCACTGTGAACTTGTAGTTGTAAAGCTTCTTTCCTACGCGTTTCGTTTCGTCTGACTAACATAATCCTATTCCAGAGTATCAATTAGCGATCTTTGTGTCAACTTCTGGGAAACTGATACCCTGTTCCAGACCACAATGCTTAAAAACCATACCCTGTCCAGCGGCACGTACCTATATAGCGTTATAAGGGAGTACCCCCCCCCCCCCCCCCCCCCCCCCGCAAGGGTTATAAAGGAAGTCGTGAAAACTCCCAGGATATAACTTTATTATAATCTCACGCATTTGATTGTGGCTGCAGATATAGATCGGTATAGAAATCACTTTAAAGCCAGGGAGAAAATGATCGGTTCAAAGCTTTGATAATAAATTGGAGGAGTATTGGGGGGAGGGGGGGGGGAGGGGGGTGCAATTTAAACAATTTTCCCCAAAATCATACGTTTACTACGATGCTTACCTGAAATCGGAAGTAATGCGCGACAAATCACATCGTGACTTTGAATTCCACTGCTTGGAACCTGCACAAAACACAAGAACGCTCAGAAATACCAACACTGTAACAGGGCTAGTTTCGGTTCACAACTGATCGATGCATCGAATTCGATGCGGAAGTGATTTTACAGCAGTTAACTGATCAATGATTGATTCCTGTCGATAGAAAGAAACAAATTATTGTTTCTCCACTAACCTTGCTGCAAAATAACTTGATTTTTCAGAATTTCGTCAAAAGGAAAGCTAAAAACTCTGAAACTACAGCACTCTCGTCGAAGAAAGGAATCTGGGAATCTGGGAGAGTCCCCTATCCCAGAATCCCCAGCGCATACATTCCCAGACTAGAGCCCACTTTGAGCCCACTGAGTTTCCGACGGGGACTTGGCACGAGAAACACTGGAAAGTACATTCCGGGCTCCTGATTACCGTTGAAATGTAACCGAAATAAATTGATTGAAAGGCTCCCAAAATTTGAATTGTAAATACATATGATGAGTAATGGTTGACCAGTAAAAATAACATGCAAAATATACTGCAGTCTTCTTTGACGATTTGTGGAATGTTAGGGCCTGTTTACATGGAGGGAGGGTGACCCGGGTACCAGGGTCATCCTCCCAGCCTAGCTACCCTGGGAGGACCAACTTGTCATACATTTCTTTACAAAGCACACTGAAGTGTTTGCATGATAGACAGAGTCGCCCGTCTACCCGGGTCACCCTGTCTGCTTGCCAGGGCCACCCTCCAAGGCGGGCTATCTTTTCTGCATGTAAACGGTCACCCCAGGGTCACCCTCCTAGGCGGGATATTTTTTCTGCATGTAAACGGTCACCCCAGGGTCACCCTCCTAGGCTGTTGACTTGAAAACGCGCGAAAATGGCGGAACAAGCGATAAAAACAGCAAACTCGCCGCTATAGCCTTTCTTCTTGCTGTCATGTTTGTTATGTAGTGCTTAATAAATCGTGCCGTTGCAATAAAAAAAGTCCGCCAAAATTTGAGCCCGCCAAAACAAGAGCCCGCCAAAAAAGATAGCTCGCCTATATCATAGCCCGCCCATGTAAAGGCGGGCTATGTTTTAGCCCGGCTGGGAGGGTGACCCTGGTACCCGGGTCACCCTCCCTCCATGTAAACAGGCGTGATCCAAAGTGTACTTGTATAGCGTACAGTTTCTGGCAGTGGCCAGGATTTACAGCCGGTAACTTATTCATTTATTTCTTTTAACCTATATAAAGGGATACTTTTCCATTGGGTGTTCCTTTAATGGAGGTTCTACTATATTTCTTAGGGGTGAAAATGCCGAATTCGAGCCACACCCACAAAAATAAATGTTGGCACCTTTTAGGGCCTTTTAACGGTTCCTGTCAAAATTTAAATTTCCGACGACCACCCACGTGACCACGTCACTTTTGTATCATCGTTTATATAGGAGATGTCCAAAGGCTCCGCACATTTTAAAATAGGGTTTTAATCAAGTCTTGCTCTCCGGCAAGCGGTTTTTTTCAAACAAAATTCCATTCGTTCTCATAGAAAAGTAACTAGAAAAGACGAGTCAGTGTACTTTGTCTCTATTTTATTAGCCTTGCGCCTAATTTATACGTCACATGAGGGCGCAGTCGCATCGAATATAATTCAAGCCGCAGGTTGCAGAAACCTCGCTGGTATATTACTTGATTCGACTACGTTACCGGTAAAATACGCGCCATGGAAGCAACGTGTTCTACTTTGCTATTATTTTATTTTGCGTGGGGGGTGGGGGGTGGGGGGGGGGGGGGGGGGGGCATTGCGCTGATTTAAAGCGATTTCAGCGAGTTTTCTGGGCCGGTCTTGAATTACATTCGACGCAACTAAACAACATATACGCCTGTGTTGTCTCTCGTAGAAAACCGTTCAAAGCCACGAGCTTTAAAAACGAGATTAACCGTTTGATGAATCATACGATTCCTCTATGATAAATATCAAGTTTGAATAAGCCTTACTTTCTAGTATAGCCTTAGTAAACAAATAGACCAGTTTTCGACCATTTTGAAATTAGTCTAGTTCCGCTGGGAGATTTACAGATGGAAAGAAAACTTTAAAGGATGGTTTTCACAACGACGAAAGCACAAACTGAAAGCACACTTGATCTCTTTAATACTTCACCAAGAAAACGGGATCAACGCAAGCATTAGCACAAGCATACATCGAAAATTAATTATTTTTCTTCCGCTATGAAGAAGAAAGAATGTTATTACGAAAGTAGATCATCGCAGTGAAAGACTTTACAACTAAAGCAGTTGAAAAGATACTGAACATGAAAAACAAATTCAGGCTTGAACGGGATTCGAACCCAGGACCTTGCGATGCCGGTGCAATGCTCTTACCAACTGAGCTATCAAGTCCGGCTGAGTGCTGGTCATTTTGTGAGTTCGTATTATACCCGTAGAATAAGATGAAGAATAAATGAATGAGAATATATGATTTTTCATATATATATATATATATTCTAATTATATTCACAAGAAAGAATGTTTTAGGTGCTTGTGTTTCTTATGTTATATGCTTCTTATCTACGTACGCTTTATATATGCCTTATCCTGAATTCCTGTCGTTTTCACGTCGCTGGTGAAGTTGTAGGCATCAATGTGACTGCACACTTCCCATCATGCACATCTACAGCCTTTAAATTCGATCAGTATACCTGATCATGAGTATACAGTCAACTCTCTCAAAGCGGACACCACTGTAAGGCGGACACCTCTCTACGGCGGACGTGGTTGGCTGGTCCCGACCGAACCAAGTTTCTCTTATTTTTCTGTAACGAAACTCTCTATAAGGCGGACACCTCTTTAAGGGCGGACAGCTAGAGCTGGTCCCGAGGGTGTCCGCCTTAGAGAGAGTTGACTGTAGTAGGGTGTTTTTCGAGGTATCTTTATAAGCTAGTTTATAGTTAAAATGCTGTCAATATTTCAGAAATCTAATTTTAAGAAGAATATATTTACAACAAAAACAAACAACTCCATCGTTCGCTTCCTTTTTAAAATTGTGAACTTGTCTATATAAAAAATTAGCATTATTCTTCTATCATTATCTTCCTTTATAGTATATATATACTTCTTGGTTCTTTTTTACGTCTTCTCTACACGTAAAAATAACAGAATCTTGGTACAGTTTAATACAATAAATAAATATTTTATGCTTATTTTTTTCTATACCCATGCATACAAACAACAACCGATTAAATATATAGCACATATCCGATTTCAGTGCCTCACTTCACCCAGGAGTTATAAATGGGTACCTTCAAACTGTAGGGCAGCCTGCGATGGACTAGTGTCCCTTCATGCTGTAAAACCGGTGGCGTTAATTCCGTTTCTCCGCCGGAGGGAGGGGACTGTTAGAAAGGCAACTTCGCACTATCCGTTCGGAACCGCTCGTTTTACATATCGTTTAAAGTAAAAAACAGGCTCGGTATCTATTATATAACTGCATGCATGTTTTCTTTTTTCGTATAAATTATAACAGAAAATATTACTTTCATATATATATTAAACAAATCGTGATAATGCACATAAATCGTGATTGAACCAAGTGGGCAAGCCACGAAACCGAGTTGGGGGTTGAAGTAGAATACTTTACCATGACTATATTCATTATTCCTAGCCTTTTTTCACGAGTTTCGAGTCGATGTTTATTTGTTATTTTAGTTTTTTTGGGAGAATATTCATTATTCATGGTTATAAAACTGTATTCATCTACGATTATTTTAAGCCAGTATTCAAAAGTTCATTACTTCACTTCCATCCCCAAAACCAAGGACAGTTTTCTGCAAGCTGTTAATCTTTTAAATATATACTTAGTTGCACCGAGAAACCATGTTTTTATGCAAAAATAATAAGTTAAAATACGGCTGTCGTGAAATATTCTTAATAACCTCTAACAGGAAAACTACAATTCCTCATCAAAAGTCTTTGGGAAATTAACGTCCATAGAAAGGTACAAAAAGTTGACTATTACTGGAGAGGCGTGAAGACAGAAAATTATTAAGTGTCCCAAGACTTTTGTCTTGCATTGTAGATTCCAGTCCAGTTTTCGATTAACTGTGGGGGGCAATACAAGGTCGTCGAAACATAACAATGTACTAACGACCTCATCCTAGGATGATCAGATCTAAGAGCGGTCTTAGCCATCCCTTCGTCTTGCTTGTTCTGTATAGTTCTGTGGCAAATATAGAATAAAAAAATTAACTAAACAAGTAGTTGACACAGCATTAACTGGGTGCAGAATAATACTCAGATAAATAGAGTTAATAAGGTAAATTATCATTATCTATTATGTTCTCCTTATGATATCAGCATCATGTGGACTAATACTTCCTATAAGCCCACACAAAGAAATAAAACCAACCAGCCATAACTAAAAAAACGGTTTCGGCACGAGGCATTATTTAGGACTCTGATACTTTGTAGCAAGCCATAAGGTTTTCGGCTACAGTTTCGACTGGTACCGTTTTGTGGACTGATGACGAAATTGTAAGCACAGTCCTGGCGTGTTTTTTATATATTATACTTATTGTAAGTTTTTTTTTAGCTTTTTTAACTTTTTGTACACACATTGTAATAAAAGCACAGTGAATCTAACCTATTGCTTTTCCGCCTGTCTTTGATTTGAGGCGACCACACCCTGACGAGCTTGAATCTGAAGCCTGTTAAACAAATGGCGATAAGATGTTGTGGAAGACAGACTGCCAAGCAGCAGGGTCGCTCCTCAATATCCATCACACTCAGCAGATCGCCCGACTTGACGTTTGAACAAACGAATACCATTGATCCCTCTGTTGTAAACAAGACACTCCTCGTCACTGACAAACTGCAGTCAACCACGTTTTTGCTGTTAGCAAGAGTGTGGTGTGTGTCTCCTGATAGTGCATCGAAGATGTGTACGCCTGGGCCGTCAACGAGAGCTTTCCCCAAACGACTACAAAACTCTTCCATAGGAGAGAAGATGCAATGTGGCAGATCTGTGTCACCTTCACACCATGGCTGAGACAAATCTCTTTCCCAGATCAGCGATGTGGTATTCGACAACTTCAATGTCCCTTCTACGCCTCCGTCCTTGAAGTTAGATCGAAAGTGATACTTTTGGCCAACAGTTATCAACTGGAATTTACTGTTACATGCAACAACATGGCTTTGCTCAAACGGTTGGATTGTGGATACAATTTCTCCGCCAGTAGTAGCTAAGATGCTTACGTTCACCTCGCCTTCCTATGCACGCTATTAGTTCGTCGGATATAGGGATCATCTTTGTTATTCCATTCAAACGCGCTCCAACGTCTGACACAACTAGACAAGTTAGAATTCCACAGCTCAGGTGGTTTGTTTTGTGCCATCAAAACAATGCCATCTCGGGCAGGTACAAGGGAGATCAACGGAAGCTGTAGTCGTCCTTGAACCTTACCATTTGAGGACGTCCCAGGCGGTTACTGTCGCTTGACTAGTCTCATCATTACTGACTACGTATACAGTCTCGCCATTGATAGAAAATGCGATGTCTTGCACGATGGTTTCTGAATTTTCTCTACTCTCTTTCAGTTTCCGAAGATTTACCAGACTTAGGTAATTGAGATCAGGGACTACTCATCAATGCAGTTTCTTCGTTTAACACAGAGATGAATCCTGCTTCCCAGAATGGAACGACACTGGACAGCTTTTCGCTTGAGATGTCAATCGGGTCCCCTAACAGAAATCCACCGTTGGTCCGATGTTCAAATTCCCAGGGACAAGAGTCATTGGAAATGTCACGGTCCTGATCAATTGCTTCAAAAGTAACGGTCGTTGAGATGCTAGGAGAATCCTCCAAGCTGATATTAAAACGAAAAGGTGTTTTGAAACTTCCGTCAGATGAAGACATGCAAGAACTTGATTGTCAGGTGAGAAGTTCATCAACGCACAGGCTACTGGCATAGCCGTTTCTCCCAGGCTTCGAAAACCAGAGGCTACCTCAAACAAACAAATTGAACGTGGATGGGAAATCGCAGGAGCGTTGCATCACGAGAGCACGCAAAAGACAGAACAGTTTCATTTCTTGTGATACGGGTGATCTCTTTACAGTTGCCAAGCTCCACATAATTACACATTGCGTCTCATCAAGACAATCGGTTAGCATCCTGGTGTTGTCACCAGAAAACTGGCAAACAGTGAAATTGCAATCACTTGAGGGAAAAAGCCTTTTCTGGTCTCCACAATGGTATAAACAAGGTCGAGGACTTCCTGGCAACACAAAGTCTCCGTTAGGATGAAAAAACGACAGCATGGTAACATGACAGGGGATCCAGATTGTTCGATTTGAGATGACCAAGGTATTTTATACGCACTTCCAAATGGAACACCACAGTAATCTTTTCTGAAAATGACAGGGCGTACCCACTCTAGCTTGCTAGTCTGGAGTGGACCACAGTTGTATCGTTCCATCGTGACATTCACAGACCATGTAGTCTAACTGCGATGAAACATCGAAGCAGGCTACTGTATCTGAACAGTGAAGCTCGACTGAGGTAACGCTCTGTGGGCCTCGTCATCCAAGCATTCCATGTACGGAATTTCAGAATACCTGGTGTCCAACGCGTTTGATGCTTCAGGAGACAGCTCTGGTCCTCCTTCATTCAGTGCAAGTTGGAAGAAGACGCCAGGAAGACTTCGCAGTGTATTACGGTGCTTCCGTAACAAGAACAACAATGTACTTAGGGCTCTATGAAGTTCTCCAGACAGCGCTTTTGACATCTCATGCATCTGAACGTTAAGGATATCTTCGGAAGCTACTGTGTTATACGTGTTGTTAACACAAAGCTTTGCATACACCAGTTCCATGTCTATCACATACTTCTTTACTGTCTCCTCGATGCTATAAGGCCTTGAATCTTCGTCTAACTCTAGCATGTGCTGAACACCATGTTGAAGAGCATACTTCTTAGTGTCATTGAACTGTTTCCCTTGAACTCCGTTTCGTTTCACATCATCAAGTACATCGGCACAAAGGCGTGCAAGGATGCAGTGGCCTTCTTTTTCATCAACACTAAAGTCATGCTCTCCATAACACGATTTGTCAGTCAGCCAATCTTTAACGGACTTGTGAATAATGTGCAGACGGCCATCGCGAATTGGGAGAAGAGCGGAAACACAGCTGATAGCTTTATTTGCTTTTCTCTGATCAGGCTTCGACTTGGTACAAAGTCCTAAGACCTTGGAAATGAAAGCAAGTGGCAATGGTTCCCTCGAAGCGGTGACAGCACAAAGAAAGCTCAGGAATTTTCCTCTTTAATGCAGAATTCTTTGTAAAGTTCCGCCTCTAGTCGTTTAAAATAAGAAGAGTAAACGGACGAGATGCCTAACGGTAAGCTACCA